ACCACCTCACCACAACAACCAACATCCCACCAACCACTTCAAAACCACAACTACTTCCAAACTACACTCACCATCTCACAAACCCCAACAACAACAATCCACTCTCACCAACACCTCCACTAAGCCTCGCCCCCAATCTTCAACATACAACCATCCTCTACTACATCATCATTACCACAACTCCAATCCTTCAACAACAACATCAACACATCACATCTTCAACTCCAACATCAACTAAACATCATATACAATCAACATACCACCACTAATCTAACAACAACCAACACAGACTCAACATACATCAAGACAACCTCTATAAAGCTTACAACTATCATAATCCACACACAACTTATATCTACAACACAAACTGAAACTACGATACTCACAACTCAACAACTACTACACCAACTCAATAACACTACAACATCACCCAAACTCAACTATCCCTTCAATAATCCTCAACCTCAACTACATCCAGAAACCATGCCACCATGAAAATACAACAAATTATCCTCCACATCCACGTGTACAACATACAACAAAAAATACCACATCAGACTTCTTCTACATAACGAGTCTGCAATCTTCATTGTACTAAAAAAAGATACTACAACTACAACAAGAAACACTCAATACATCTTATCTTCTTCTCTCAAACTCTTCTTCTTCTACATCCTCAACTCTTCTTCTTCTTCATCAACCTCATCCTCTAAAAAAAAAAAAAAAAAAAAAAAAAAACCTCATCTCTTCATCATCAAACATAAAAAAAAAAAAGAAAAACAAAAGCATCTTCTTCTTCTTCTCAACATCTTCTTTCTTCCTCAAATCTAAAACTTCCCTCACCCTTCTTCTTATCCTTCCTCCTCCAATCTAATCTTCTACTATACAACTTCCTCCTCATCACTCTTCTCCCTTATACCTCATCTCTCCATATTTCAGTCATCCTCATCCTCTTCTTATAACCATCAGTTCCACTCCCTTTACTTCTTCACCCCAACATCAGTAACTTCAACTCTCGCTCCTCATCCCCTTCTTCCCCACACCTCCTCATCCCTCTTTCTGTCTTCTTCTTCTTCATCTCTCTCATCGCCAACCTCTTCCTCCACCTTCCCCTCCTCTCCCCCCCCCCATTACCCATCTCTCCACCTCCTCCCCCCCTCACCCGCACCATCTCTGCTTCCCCCCCCAAACTCTTATTCATCCTCTTCCCCCGCCCACCGAAACGCCTCTTTTCTTTCTTCCCACCCCTCCCCACACCACTCCTCTTCTTCTTCTTCTTCTTCCCCTCATCCTTCCACGCTCCCACTTTCTTCTCCTCAAAATGCAAATCCTCTTTTCTTCTCTTCTTTTTTTCTCATTCTCATCAACTCCTTTCTTCTTCCCCCTTCAACAGCCACCTCAAATTAATCCTCTCCGAACACTTCTATTCGTTCTTCATCCTCATTCTCTTTCCACTTCATCCCACTTTCTTCTTAGAACCCATCTTCTCCCGCCCTCTGCCCTCAAATCTTCTTCTTTTCCTATAACAAACTCAAAATCTTCTTCTTCTTCCTCTTCCTACCTCATCTTCTTCTTCCCCTCATCTTCTTCCTTCCTCCCACCACCATTCAACTGCACCCACCCCCACTTCCTCTCCTACTTCTTCTTCTCATCTAAAAGTCTTCTTAAACTCATCCTCATTCTTCTTAACCGAACACACCTCACTCCGCCTTCTTCTTATCCTCATCATCCTTCCTCCTAATCCTCACCCCTCGCCCCCCCCATCTTCTTCTTCCTTCTTCTACACGACCCCCACCTCTCATCCGCCGCCCCCTCGCCCTTCTTTTTCATCCTCATCATCCGCCACCCTTCTTCCCCCAACTTCTATTTTTATCATCCCTCGTTACGTCCTTCTTTTCTTCCCCGCCACCCCTCTCATCTCCACCCCTCACCTCATCCTCTTCTTTCTTCTTCATAATCATCCTCTTGCTTGTCCCATTTCATCATCCTATTCTTCTTCTTCCACTTCTTCAGCCCACCAAGTGTGCGGTCCCCCCCAAGATCGCGGGCACTCTCTGCTTTGATGGCTTTTAGGATGCAGCAATATCAAAGTCAAAATTGTGATCTTAAAATGTCCCTTTTCTATAGTAAATATGGTGGGAAGAATAATTTTGAAACAAACATACTATCCTCCTTTTTCAAGTTTAAAAAACTCATGGAATGTACAGTAATTCTACCAACTTTTAGCATTTCCAATTTTTGGAACAATATATTTGCAAAAATTGTTGTCCAATGGGTCTTCGAGAACAAATATTTCCCAACTTGAAAAACATTGATTATGAATTTAAAAGTAAATTGGAAAAAAATCTCTTGGCGTGCTCTCATGAAATGATGAAGGTATTTTTTTACCAAACATGTTGTTAAGATTGCCAAATCCATAGTATTGCATATATGCAAAAACAAAAAGGAAGAAGAATTATGGAAAGGGAACGCACAAATAGTACATAAAAACATAACTTATTTACAAATTTGTTAACCAATAGCCGCCCGGCCAATAGCCGTTTGGCAGCTGGCAAAATGCTGTAGATTTCCGGGTGGACGCCATATGGCATCCTCCCGGGCATGCACAGTTTTCGCGTTTGCAGAGCCACGCAGCGGCGCGATCTGTCACCAGTTGTGTGACCACAGTTGACTGTGAAATTAATGAACTGTTTAATCAACATCCAAATATCCATAGCCAGCTCCTATTCAAGGAAAAAAATGTTGAGCTTAGTCAACTTCTGGAAAAGTTCAACATGGACATAATTAACAATACAGAAATTTTTTTATTAAAGGATAAAATGGCCTTCTGCCAGGGTACTGCCTTCAGATGGCACCCTGACACTAGAAGGAGGTATATGTAGAAAGATCCCCCTAGAAGTGAGATATCTGATAGTGATGCTGCATCAGACACTGCTTATAATTTCTCTTTCTCTTCGATACAAAGGGCTAATGCTGGGCATTCATGTCAGCCACAGGGATATAAGCAGCCTAATACAGTAAGTGCCAATGACAGATTGGAAGATAGAAAAAGATGTTCCAAACAGGACCAGAAGGGAGGCCAGTAGGATTCACAACCCCGCTCCAAAGATCCAGTACAAAAGCTGTGAGTGACACTTTTCAGGGGACCCTCCCTTCCCCTGTTTCTGCTATTACTCAACCGAATATTTATGACTAATTTTTTTTGTCCAACGTAGACAGCACCAATCACAGTCATATATGTACCAAGGGGGTCCTGGATCAGCATACAGCTAAATTGAGTGCTGCTGTGGGGAAGTACTTGATGGAGACAACATGGGAAGACTGGGAATTATTAAGCTATCCTCCCATGCTCTCTTCGTATCTGAAAAACAGTTGCTTTCTAGAAGCATTTAGTTTCTGTCATCATGTCAATATTGAGGTGGTCAGCACTTTGAGGTGGTTAAGGACATAAATCTTTTTGTTTAAAACCTTCTTTTGAAATTGATGTATCAAAAAGATGAACAAAGATCTGATACAATCTTGCTCCCCATAAATTACAGTAAATTGTATTTTTGAATGTTGAAAATGCTGAATCAATTGCTAGCTAAAAAAAAAACAAACCCTTGGACCTTAATGATAGTATCAATCTTGATGATATACTGAGTTTGGTAGAAAATGATGAGACATTTGACCCAGACTCATTACTTAGAAAAATATCTACCAAATTTCCCTCTACACAGAATAATCCTAATTTGGCCATTTTGTAAGCAAGTTACTGCAGATGTGGAAAAAAATCATACAAAAAGCTTTACCAAGTCAAATTTAAAGTGATACTAAATCCACTACCCCATATTCACTATATCTGGTCTCCCACAAAGAACATGGAAATGCAATTATTTTAGTAAATGTACTGTAAACTGCTAAATACCTTGCTCATCAGCAGTATATAGCAGTCTTGTGACTTCTATCAGTGTCCAGCTGAGCAGTAGTTAAAGCTTGTATGAGGAGTTTTCATTCTGCTATGACTGTCCTATGAGGCTGCATAACCACCAACCCTCTGTCTAGACAGTGCTGATTGGCCCTGTGCTGATCACATGCACCCTCCCAAAAAAAAACCTCTCTAGCCATACCATACACACTAGACTGAGCATGTGCAGAGTTACTCCTAGAGCTCTGTACAATCAGCAGATGGATAGGGGACTTCTATCAGTGTCCAGCTGAGCAGTAGTTAAAGCTTGTATGAGGAGTTTTCATTCTGCTATGACTGTCCTATGAGGCTGCACAACCACCGACCCTCTGTCTAGACAGTGCTGATTGGCCCTGTGCTGATCACATGTACCCTCCAAAAAAAAAAAAAACCTCTCTAGCCATACCATACACACTAGACTGAGCATGTGCAGAGTTACTCCTAGAGCTCTGTACAATCAGCAGATGGATAGGGGAAAGTAGAAGGGGAGGATCAGAGAAGACAGAATCAAAAAAAAACACAAACTGGATTATTAACCAGAGAGTGCAGCGCTAATAAAATAATATATATATATGAATGCCTGAGGTTCAGCATTAAAATTTTAATTTTATTAGCGCTGCACTTTCTGTTTTACAATATTTAAGATGGTTTTTAAGGTTTCCTTTTAGTGCATTTTGCTGCTTCTATTCATTTTTTAGCACTCGCTGAATTGCACCTTTACATTTGTACTCCTAATTACCTTATAGCTGAGCTGCTCATTATTTATTTGTATTTATCATATTCTTATTTATATTGATAGCGTTGTGGTTGCCATTTTTTCATTATCCACTTGCCGACCGCAGATAGCCGAATGACGGCTACACTATGGCCAGCCAGTTCTGGGAGGGCATCATATGATGTCCTCCCAGAACGCGCTCTCCTGCGCGCCCCCGGCGATCTCCATGATCGCTGTGTCCTACGGACACAGCTGATCACGTGATGTGGTAAAAGGCCAATCACAGCGGCCTTTTACCACGTGATCAGCCGTGTCCATTGACACGCTGATCACCGGGAAATGCAATTGTCGGTTCTCGGCTGCACTTTCCTCACGTTGTCAGAGCGTGAGGAAAGTACTGCCGAGAATCAGCAGTTGTCAGAGCAGGGATCGGCACCGATCATCAGGGCACTGATGATCAGTGCCCTGATGATCGCTGCCTAGCAGTACCACCCACCAGTTCCGCCCCCCTGTGCCCAGCAGTGCACCCACCTATGCCTAGCAGTGTGTCCACCTGTGCCCAGCAGTGCACCCACCTGTGCCACCCAGCAGTGCCACACACCTGTGCCACTCAGCAGTGCCACACACCTGTGCTCAGAAGTGCCACCCCTACCTGTTGCCCCAGCAGTGCCACCCACCTGTGCCCCCACCCACACATGTGCCCACCAGTGCCACCCACCTGTGCCCACCAGTGCCACCCACCAGTGCCCATCAGTGCAGCCCAGCAGTGCTGCTAGTCAGTGCCACCAGTCAGTGCCCAGTGGTTGTGCAAGTCAGTGCCCAGCAGTGATGCCAGTCAGTGCCACCTATCAGTGCTGTCTATCAGTGCCACCTATCAGTGCCGCCTATCCGTGACACCTCATTAATGATGCCTATCAGTACCGCCTATCCGTGCCACCTCATTAGTGCTGCCTATCAGTGCCGCCTATCAGTGCTGCCTATCAGTGCCCATCCACCTATTAGTGCCCATCAGTGCTGCCTCATCAACGCACATCAGTGAAGGAGAAAAATTACCTGTTTGAAAAATTGTATAATAGAAACAAAGAAACTTTTTTATTATTATTATTATTTTATTATTATATTATTATTTATTTTTTTGTTTATAGCGCAAAAAGTAAAGTGTCCAGCTGCAATTAAATACCACCAAAAGAAAGCTCTATTTGTGAGAAAAAAATTTCATATGGGTGCAATCCTGCATGACCGCGCAATTGTCAATCAAAATGCGACAGCGCTGAAAGCTGAAAATTGGCCTGGTAAGGAAGGGGGTATAAGTGCCCGGTAGGTAAGTGGTTATGGACATCTTTGAAATTCGATCTAAGAGATCAGCCATCCCAGAGGATGTCTTTACAATTAATAATGATACTGATGACCTTAGAGGCTTGTTCTTACATCTACAGAACATAGCTTCATCAGAAATAAGAACTTTATGGGACATATCATTCCTTGAAAAATATATTAAAAAAGATATGGTCTACCAGATTGCTTAGATGGAACGTCCCTCCTGAGACAGAGGACGTAAACAGTGCAATTGAATGGCACTAATTTTTCTACAATATGAGTATAGACCTTTTAAAATTTCTTATTGTACGCAAAAAGAAGAAACTCATATATTTAGATAATGAGATTAATAAAAGATGAGAAAAATAGTCCCTTATAAAAGGTACAGAGGAATATATTATTGAATCAAATAAGCTTAAAAATCACTTGGATGGTATAGAGAGAGATCAAAAAATTAAAAAGAGAAAAAAATACACCAGGGATTCTACAGCTTATAAGGAGAAAAAGGTATTTAAATGGCAAATCCCTATCATAGAATCCAATACTAATGTATCTAATACCAATACACACAGTCTTCCCTCCAAACAATACACACCTCAGCATCTCAGAGATAATCACTATGACCAGGGATCTCCTATAAGAACCCGTCCTTTGGATAACAATCTGGTCCCCCAGTATAATAGATTTGAGCATCTACAAGGGATACCAGATGATAATGTGGGTCTAAGGGACATGAGATGGCATCCTGTCCAAAAAAAAAGTAAAAACAAATATAGGAATCCCCATAAGGGATACACAATATCCAATACAGAATTCAAATAATAATTATGATAATTGACGCACTCCAAACAATTTTAGACCCCATAAGAATAATAATTGGGGAACACCAGCAATTATCAGCACAATTACTCGCGATATAGGAATAACAATCAGGGTGACAATTATAATCACACCAATTACACTGAGCCTTTCCCTCAGCCTCATTTTTTTAGGAGGAGGCAAGGCCCGAAAGAGAAGCATCAGATTAGAGGATGTAGAAGAGGAAAGAGGATCAATCGATCCCAAAAAGAGGAAAGTCTAACAGACAAGGGAATCTTCAATCTTAGTGGAACGATTTTATCCCAACAAGAATTGAATGTTTTGAACAAAGGTTTGAAATATGCTCCCAAAGCGAAACTTAACAAGTTCCAAATGTACATTGATGTACATAAGTTCACCAGAAGGCTAGCTGTGAAAAAGTACTTTTTAAGCAAACCTAAGGTTTCTTATACTAATAGAACTTCTGGTTCCGATCTCAAAAATGCGTCTCTTTTTAATCCCCCTCCACAAACACAATCCCATGTTAATATCTTTAATGAGATGATCCTCAGAGACATCGAATCAATCCAAGTCAAACATCCCTATAACCAAAAGGATATAGATCTAGGATTGAAAGCCCTCCTAGAGAAAAAAGACCTAGTAGTCAGACCTGCGGACAAAGGAGGGGGGGTGGTTGTAATAAATAAGACCAACTACATGACTGAAGTCTATAAGATCCTGAATGATAAGGATACATATCAGGTATTACCTAGAGACCCACTCATTAATTATAAAATATCCTTAAAGAGTCTAATCAATAAAGGTTTTGATAACAACATTGTAGATAAAAAAGAAAAGGACTTTCTGTGTCCCAAAGCACCCAGACTTCCAATCCTTTACTGCCTCCCCAAGGTACATAAGGACCCAGTTAATCCCCCTGGTCGTCCCGTAGTTAGTGGGATAGGTTCTTTGTGCTCCAAAATAGGTCAGTATATTGACCACTATCTGCAACCTTTGGTTTTAACCACCCCATCATATATAAAAGACACAAAGCAGGTACTAAATGAAACCAGTACCCTTACTTGGGATTCTGAGCGTTTAACCCCACTAGTCACTGCAGACGTTTCCTCCCTCTATAGCAATATTAACCATGAGGATGGTATGTCTGCAGTTGACTATTACCTTAACACAACTGATCATATTTCAATAACACATAAGTCATTCATCTTGGAGTTATTGGATTTTGCAATGTGGAAAAACTATTTCTGGTTCGATAGGAAATTTTATTTGCAAACCAGAGGTGTTACGATGGGAGCGAGATTTGCTCCCAGCCTGGCTAATCTGTTTATGTCCAGGTGGGAGGAAGATGTGATATATTTCAGGGAATGACCAGAGCTTCTTCTTTACAAAAGGTACATCGATGATATACTTCTCCTATGGCAAGGAGAGGAGGAGGCTCTAATAAACTTTTTTGGAACTCTAAACAATAACAATCAGAATATCAAGGTAATGTTTTGTTATAGTACTACTAAAATTAACTTTCTTGACATAACCCTAGTCAATAAGAGAGGTCACCTGATATCAGAAGGGCCAGTTCATGAAGGTAAGGAGGAACTGTGCTGAGGTCAACACCTATCACACAAAAACAACTGTTCTCAAACAACAGTTTGTAGAGAAGGGATACAATGAAGAACTATTAGATAAAGAACAGGACTCTGTAGCAAATTTAGACAGAGATATAATGCTTACCAGTTCAACAAAACATAAAGTTGGGAAATTCTGCCCTTTTGTAACATCCTTCTCAATTCAGCACAAGACAGTCAGTAACATCATTAAAAAGAATTGGGATATCCTCAAAGCAGATCCTATTCTTTCTAAAGCTCTACCCGACAAACCAGAGATTGTGTTCAGGAGAGCACCCACTCTAAGGAATAAGATCTCTCCAAATATCATTGACCATCCTCCTAAGACTGTTATTTTCTAATTAAAAAGGTTTTTTTCCATGTAAAAAATGCATAATATGTAAACAGAGTAAACATTTACCAAAAAAAGTAGAATCATTCACATCATCCAAAAAGGGAAAAATATACAATATCACAACATTCTTAACTTGCAACAGCCGGGATGCAGTATACCTCTTGGAGTGTCCGTGCCGCTTACAGTACATTGGCCGCACCACAAGGAGGCTCAGAGACCATTTTAGAGAGCATGTCAATAATATTAAGAAAGGTTTTAGAGAACATTCACTCTCAAAACATTTCAGGTACCACCACAACAGAGATCAATCCACTTTAAAATTTGCTGGTATAGACTTAGTTCAGAGCCATTGGAGAGGCACAAATAAGAGTAGGCTGGTCTCACAGATGGAGACCAGTTGGATTTATGAAATGAAGACTCTGACCCCTGCTGGCCTGAACATTGAAGTTGACATCAATTGCTTTATAGATAATAGTTAACGCCTTTTATTCCTGCTGTTCCCCTTTAGTATATAACTGCTACCACCGACTGAATATATATTTGTTATTATTATGTGTTATTCGTTTTATTGTAGCCTACAACATTTTTACTGTACTGCATACCATTTCAAACCATTTAGTTTTATCTGGTTTTGTACTCTAACTTATATTTAGTTTATAATTTTTATACCCACAAGCACAGAGCAGCTCAGTGTTAGATTACCACATTTTTCAGATTTTTTTATATATTCATTTTTTAATCTGTCCACATGGTCATATAGATTTTTAATATTGTAATTTGTTTTAGCCCATTTGGCGTCCTGTAACTTTAGTAAATGCGCACCTTATTATATCATTGATGTATTGACCTGTAACATTAGGATATCGGCACTTTAATAATACACACTTTTCATTCAATAATACGTACTTTTTTATTGGCTAATCCCCGTAGGGATATTTATAATAAATCATGACAACCAATTATTGTGTTTCTGGCCGTAGAACTCAGGGAAAATGGCGCCGGCCTTTTCGTGCATGCACATCACATGGCATGCATGTCCATTTTTACCAATTCAGATTACACGTTTTTGGTTTTAATTTCCACTATATGTTTGGCCTCATATTTTATTACACAATTTATTTATGATATTTCTTGTCTAACTAAAACTTAGTAAGTTGTTTAATGAATCACTATTGTAGCTTGACTGAAAATGGCACTCGGAATTTTTCCACACATGCGCATTATGTTACAAGTGTGCCTGTAATTTTTTCACCAATATGACTGGATTTATCCAGTTTTTATCATCACGTTGGCCTGTAGCTATACCGTTTTAAGGGATATTGAATTATAGCTTTCCAAATTAGTATCTTCTCCTGTGTAAACATTGTCACGAGCAGTTAGGCTCTGAGAAAATGGCGCCCGGAACTTTCCGTGCATGAGCACTACAGACGGCTCTGAGAAAATGGCGCCCGGAACTTTCCGCACATGCGCACTACAATGCAAATGAGCCCGGGATTATCATTTACCCCTGGGATCGTTCTAATTCAATTTTTGACTAGATACTGCCATGGACCATGTTGATTAAGAGTCCACCATACCTTAAGTTATCACAATAAAGGTCTCCCCTGTCAAACTAAAGCTGTTAGCTGCTTAGTGTTAGCTGGACTACAAGAAAATGG